ACATTGAAAGGAGTCAGTTGAGGTGGTTTATCTGATTAAGACCCTGTCCCACTATAATGTTTTGGACAACTTATTTTACCGTTATTTAACCAGGCAAGTCCCATTGAGATCTCAGATCTCTTTTTCAAGGGAGGCCTGGGCCTGAAGTCAACCTATTGTACATGTTTTGGGGAGTGGGGGAAACCGGAGAACCCAGAGAAAACCCACGCAAGCACACGGAGAATATGTAAACTCCACACAGAAAAACCCAAGGTCCAAACCAGGGATTGAACCCAGGACCTTCTTGCTGTGAGGCGTCRGTGCTAACCACTGATCCATYGTGCCGACAAAGTTAAATGCTGCTCTGGGTTATTTTTCCAGCTGCATGAGAAACTCTGCAGAGCTGGCTCATATTTCTTATTTAATGTAAAAGTAACATCACACCAACAACGCATCACCTCTCAGCTGTATTTTATTAAGAAACTTTATCTATGTTGATTGTAATCATCACACTAGTTCAGTCAGTTTAATGATCTCAATATTGATCAAAGTGTCAGCAGGTCAATAAGTGCTGCACAATTTAAATAACCACATAAAAAAATAACAAACAAAAGGTTAGAAAGTGGTCTATACAGAATAAAAGGACGAAGCTTTAATTTTGGGACAGAGWAGAATTGATTTTTTTGGGTCTGACCTCGTGCTCCAGGCTGCTGTACTCTCCYTCTGTGTTCTCCCTGATGATCATGATGTCAATGTTCTTGTGGCGAGTCTGGACTCCGGGGAGGGACTGGCAGTGCATCACATTGGCGTACAGATCTAAGCTTGTGCTGTTCAAAAGAGAAAAAACAACGGTCAAAGCAATCACAAAGGACCAAATTAAGTGAGAAAAATGAAGCGTCTGACACAAAGAGAACTCTGTCGAGGACACAGAAGGTTTCATTTACCGTAGGAGATTATTTCTGGATTTCACAGATGGCGGCATGGTATGTTTGGTTTCTATGTTACCTGTCAGGGGAGTTAGGAAACTCTGCTGTTAGRGTGCGTTATCATTTATAAGCTCTGACAGTAACATTGGGGAAGAAAAAAAGTTCAGCTTACCTTTAAGGGCCACTCCATTACGGCGGATGGCAGTAATGGCATTATTAATATCATCCTCTGTCTCCAAAGCAGAGTTTACGTTCACCACCTCAAAGTCCACAGGGACACAGCTGAACCTATGGGTTTGATTACAACCAATAGAGAGAGTTCTCAACTGTTTTGTTGATACTTTTGAGCAGATTTTAGTGTAAAGTTAACCAACCTGAAAACCTCTCTGACATGACTGAGAAGCTCTGGGCCGATTCCATCTCCAGGTATGAGGGTCACGGTGTGTCTGCCTCCATACTTTGCAGGAGGGGGCTGTATGCAATATATACACCGGTGGGTTTACAACTTTTACTAAACGTTCTACAACAATCTATCCACGTTTTTAATGAGTTTATTTTCATCTTAAATGTTTTCTTTCTGAAGTAAAATATCACTGAAGTATGAAAATGACTTGGCATGGTGCCCTCTAGATTCTGCATCACAATAAACAACATCCCCATTTGTTTTTGTTAGCTACATTTTAATCAGTGTATAATTTAGTTACTACAATTAGACATCATTTGAACCAGGTTAGAGTTTCTTAAACTTAACAAAAARTTTTTATACTCAAAGAAATGTAATGCATTTTAACACAAAAGCCCAAAAGATAAACAACCGTAAAGTCTGTAAAAGAGTGCTGTACTAACTGAAGATTTTTTTCCCCCTCATTTAATGTAGCTTAACTACGGTCTTGTAAAATCAATATTTAGTAGTTTTYTTGCAAAAGGAGGTCAACTATACTGGTGTAATGGAAACCACAATAAAAGCAGCAAATGTTGAAAACCCATACACAAACCATAAATACAAACAAAGCATAAAAAGTAKGGGTAAGTTTCACATAAAGCAGTTAATAGTAGTATTTACGAATGTTTTTCGTTTTGTTTTTTTTAATCTAGCACAGTCAAAATAACTGATTAAAAATGAAGAATGACAGAGCTCCTGTCCATGTAATCCATCTAAAAGGTGAAAATCCTCAACACCTCCACTTGTTTGTTGGTGAGATCAGATTATTTTTTGTATGAGTTAAAATCATTGAACTCAAAATTTGTTCTTGTATGTGAACTGAAGCACTGTGATAAATATGATCAAAACATGGTTACTTACAATGTTTTCTCTCTGTTGATGAAGATTTGCAGAAAGAAAAGCAAAAGRAGAAGTTAGACTGTTGTGTAACAAAACGTCAAAATGGGCCAAAAACAATAGATAAAAATAGCACGTCACACAAAAAAATTACTGCATATTCTAAAAACTTGCGAAGTCTTATAAAATCACATTACTCTGGAAATAAACAAGAGGTGGTGATTTACAGTATTGCTTCATGAATTTAAGTATCAATCAGATCGGTGTYTATATCATAGGACAAAAACATTCTCAGGCAGTCCTGGCTACTCACAGAGAGAAAGGTCTTATTCCTGTGACTAGTCAAAGTTGTTCCAAATACCTGAAAAATACAAATACAAAGGCCTGTTTATACTTTATGGACCACATTTATAACGTGTCTGCGACATGCCTTTCCTGTAAATACAAAAGTGGCAGAAAACATCTTAAWATTTCATAATTTTGGCACAATACACATGATTCTGCCCATTTAATTACATACTGGCATGTATTTAGTGTGCATATTATCTATTTCACTATACCTTATTAATGTTACCTTTACAAAAACAAACWAACTAACTAACWAACAAACAACTATTTATCACAAAATTCCATCACAGGAACTTTATTAAAACTGAAACAGTTGTATATTACAGTCAGGAGGCTTCCTACACGATGACCTTGTGTTTATATCAAATAACAGCGTWTCAAACAGAGAAAATACTCGTTTTAAAAAGCTCATATAAAAAAACGTTTTGTTCGGCCTTACTTTAGTCGTATTTCCAAGGCATCTACCCCAGACAGGGTTTATAATTTTGGAAACCGAGAGCACTGCACTGTGGGCCGCCATCTTGATTTGAAGGGAGTTGACGTGGGTTGGGCACGAGAAGGAGATTTTGTGCTCGCGCATGTGTTTACATTTATTTATTTAAATAATGTATTTATTAGTTTTTCAAATGCTTTGCAATAAATGAAAAAAGAAARTGAAAAAACAACGCTTGTAAAAAATTATATAAATAATAACTAAAAAAAACATTTGGTCACGTGACGATGCTCGCGCAAACTCTGCACGCATGAGGCGAACTCCGGAAGTAGCGCTAAATAATTTGTACGTAGTCCCGACAGCGCTGAAATAAAACTTTTCCCCTTGCTCTTTGACGACAGTTTGTCTTATCTGGAAGGTTTCTTTTTCCACCTAAGAAAAGCKCCGATGAAGCGCAGGAAACTGTAGATGTCTGGAGGACGAGAGCAGCAGCAGCAGCTTGTCTTTCCGCTCGTGCGTCCATTAGATCCCAGCAAAGACGAAAAGTCGAGAGACGATATACTAGACAAGATAAGAAGGTAAAATTWGCAATTTTTGTATTAATGCGAGTGTTCAGTAATGTCGTTGAGGTTAAATTATTTATTCGTTGCTTTCGTGTTCATGTCTTTAACTTTAAGGCTAGTTATTAACCTATGAATTTTTTTTCAGAACTTGTTTTAAGGGGAAATGTGCCTCCCCTTTAAATTTATGGTTCTKTCAAATTAACCCCTTTACTTTATTTACACATTTTAACTCTTAAGTGCAATATTTTAATTTGCATTAGTTTTTAACAAAAGTGGACTTTCTACACATCTAAAAGTGCCAGCATTTTATCATTGCTTTGAAACATAAAATACTGAAGGTGAGGCTATAGATATACATTACAAAACAAATGTAGAAATTTACGTTTTRTGGTGATTTTTACATAGTAAACAATTAAAGACAAACAAATCAGACCTACAAACTGCTTTTGCATGTGGCAAGGATTTTAAAATGACTTTGCTGTAAAACATTCAACAAAACTAAGGAGAATTATTTATCAGTGATGTTGAGAAAATACAAAGAAATGCAACCATCTGCAGAATAGGCCTTTATTCTTGTTCAAAGTAAAACAATTTGTTTTCAGGAAAACTTTGATCTGGTTGGACCTGCATGGTTGAAGTGAGCATCTTWATAAAGTCAAGGCTTTTTGAAAATACATCTTCTGGACACATAAATACAAAAAGTGTCTTGGTAGACATACCATAGAAATGTTTGTTTAAAAAAACATAACTAAAAAGCACTCTAGTGTGGTTTTTATTAGAATGAATCACTGTTTAATGGAGAGGAAAACCTAAAGTGATTCTACACAATGTAGCAGAAATTCTGAAGTWAATGTGTACAAAAAACAAGTTTAATTAAATGTGTAGCCTTGGGCTGCGCAGGATCAACATCATCATACTACCAAACCAAGGAAGTAAATACTAAAACAAAACACGTGTTACGGAAAGAAAACCACACTGAATGACTCCTCTGGTTTTCTCCTTTGTACAGGCCGAGGAAACTGTGAACTATGAGGCTGACAGGTGGGTTGTAAGTTCTGGTTCAGGTCAGTAACTAATTTGGTAATCCTGAGTGTATTTTCCCTGGGCTCGTGTGTTCGGACTCTGCTAACAGGCCCTGTGCGAGCTGTGGTTGTGCTGCTCCTGGTCGGGCTCACCTGGCTGCTTGCAAACACTTTTTTCGGAGGAGAAGGTATTTCATCYGTGCGACAACTCTTGGGTGGTAAGACATCTATTTTTGATGAGTGTATTACAAGATGGGATAAAAAAAATGTCAAAACATTTGTCAAAACTAAAGGATTTTCTTAGTTAGATATATTTTAGAAATAGTGTTTTTTTATCTCTAATAATCTAGAAACTAGAAACAACCAGATTGCAAATAAATACTTGAAATTTACTCTCAAAGGTTTTTGTAAGGACATGGTGGATGCCTGTAAAGAATTAAACATTTTTTCCTTGTAGAACTTATGTCCATTTAATTCATAAATGTGTTTTTTATGTTTTCAGGCACAAAAGCAGAACCAACCCAATGTAAGTAGAAGAATTCGCATAAGAGATCTGTTTTAAGTTGTTTGTGAGGTTATCGGATAGTAATGTGTAATGTCTTTCTTTCTTTTTTTTTTCTTTTTAAGCTGAACAACGTCCTCGAAAATACAAATGTGGACTTTCAGCTCCTTGTCCTCCAAAGCATTTGGCTTTCCGTCTGGTTTCTGGTGCTGCTAACGTCATCGGCCCCAAAATCTGCTTGGAAGACAAGATGTAAGTAAGATTTGGTGCTTAAAAATTTTTGTTTGTTTGTTTGTCTGGGTTTTTTTATGTCTTTGTTTTGTTTCACTGTCTCTCTGTGTTTTTTTATTTTATTTTTATTTTTTCCGTCTCAGCTCTCATAACCAGGCCAGCAAATCTGCCTGGGGAGCTCGGTGCAAGTATTGCTTCAATTTAGTGCTCCCTAATCTGCTCTTGTGTTATTGTTTTGGCTGCTTTCCCACTTGTTGCTGTTGTGTTAGTGTCAGGTAGAGTAAACAGGTGTGYAAATGAATGAATGTGTGTGAGTAAAACCTTGGGCGTGTGTCCAACAGATTAGTGAGCAGTGTGAAGAACAACGTTGGCAGGGGACTTAACATAGCTTTGGTAAACGGTAAGACATCCTTCTTTAATTTATAATACATTATGTTGTGTTTTTAAATTTAGCCACTGTGGTTGTTTTACCATAGCTCTGATCTTTCTCTGCTCCAGGGGTGACAGGTGAACTTTTGGAGACAAAAACCTTTGATATGTGGGCAGGAGGTAATAAAACCCTAATAGATAAATAATGAGAAGGTATTTCAGTTTTGTTGCTACACGAGGCTGGTAAATTGCAGCTCATATCTCGCCTGTTGTTTGCTCTCAGATGTTTCCGACTTGTTGAAGTTTCTTCGACCCCTTCACGAGGGAACCCTTGTGTTTGTTGCTTCCTTTGATGATGCTGCTACAAAGTAAGAGCTGGTTATTTATTCTCTGTTACATTTAAGTGCTGCTCTATTTGCATTAATACATTTTTCCTAATTATTAATTTTAAAAAAATCATGTAGTATTGTTGCATTTCAAACAAAATCCTTTCAGTTTGAAGTTTACTTGCACATTCAAGAGAAAAGTTTAGATAYTGTTTCAACATACAGATCAAATCACATCATCACGTCAAGCTACCTAGGCTAAAAGTGATTACACAGTAAAAAAAAAACAGTGTAATTTTAACACCTACAGAGTTGAATTTAATTCTGTTTCATATAATATTTGGTCCCACTCAAAATTAGTGTAAAATGTACTCTATAGCCAGTGTAAAATAATCAAAGTTAATTTTACTCATTTTAGTGTCAAAAGCAACAATGAATCRAGTAAAATTATTTAACTCTATAGCTCATTAACACTTTATAGAGTAATATTGTTATTTTTATGGAGTTAATTTCACGCTAAACTTTCTTTAAAAAGTACACTTTATTGTGTAATACTAATCTTATTTTTTGTTTTCCTTTTTAGACAGTGTGAGTCAGAGTACACAGAGTTCTGCACTCTAACGTAGAGTTAAAATCAACTCTTGAAGTGTTGTATTAACACTGGTCATTAGCTGGCAAAACAGTACAACAGACTGACCCTTCACACACCAGGAAGTACCTCTCACTCATGGTGTCGACTTATGGCAAATAACACAAAACTTAAACTTGAAAAACTAACCAACCTGAACAAGAAAGCTAACCAGAAAAACAAATTTTTACACTCATGAATCTTTTTTATAGTCTTAGACAAGCAAACACAACATTTCTACTAGATTACCCAGCATTCCTTGCTGAGAAAATTCTGGTCCATAAGGAAGAGGGCGGAGCTTTTCAAGAATACTTCTTTCAACACTGCATTGTGTTCTATGATGACACTGTTAAGTGTTAATCAAGACTTAACAGTGGGCGGAACTTATTTAACACTGTCCAGTGTTGAGACAACACTGAGGAAATCARCTCTGTGAATTAACACCAACACTGGACGTCAGTTTACTCAGAAAGGGTTAAAATAACACTTGGGGAGCTGAAATTAACTCTGAAAAGTTTTACACTGCAAATTTAACACTCCRTTTTTTACTGTGTACTTCCAGCGGATCTTATCCTGGAAATAAAACATCCTTATCTGTTGATAACCAAMAGAACAGAGTAAAACACAGTGACCTGATGTTATCAGATCAGTTGAATACTTTATAACCTGACCTAARTAAGAACAGATCAATAAATATTCCATTACAGTTAGTAGATCAATGCTGCTGATAAGCTCTGGGTTTGGGATAAGGTGAGGTTTGAATGAGGTTTGACAGATTGATKGGTGCAACTTTCTTAGTATTAGCTGTGTCTCAATTCAGGGGTTGTAGCCCATGTAGACCGCGGCCCACATAGGCTACGCCAGCACTCCCCAACCCCCTGGCCGTGGACTTTGTACCGGTCTGTGGGTCGTTTGGTACYGAGCTGAGCAGAAAGAATAAAYAAGTTACATTATTTTCTTYGTATTTATTATTTGAGTCTGAACAATGTTTTATTTTGAAAAACGACCGGATTCTCTATGTTATGTCTGTCTATGACTCACTCTTGACACATCAAGACGCTTGTCTCGGTGAAAACAGACGTCTTTGGAAAGTTTCTTTACAAAGGCAAAGGGGAAAAGGCGTTGGCACATGTCAGGAAGACGCTGCTAATAAGATTACATACAAGTACAAAGTGARTGGATTGATGTTAATTATTATATTTACAAAATACTAGTTCTTGTGTTRGTCATAGGCTATCATTTTAATTTGTTGTATTCATCTGTCATACCTTCCGGTCTGTGAAAATATGTCTGACAATAAACCGGTCCGTGGCACAGAAAAGGTTGGGCACGACTGGTGCTACATCCTACATGCAGGCTGTCCATGCTACATAAAACAGCTGTGAAAAGAGACGGTCTGAAGTATGGAAGATGTACGGTTGTGTGACCACGCACTGCCCCGTTACCACTGTGTTACTTTTTATTTCACATACAGTAGTTCCCTTATCACAGCGTAACTTCATAAAATTCAGTATTATTTTAAAAAGTTACATGTAAATAAGTAAAAAAAAACCATTAATAATTTGGATTTAGCTCCAGTAGCAGTACTTGTAATTGAATTTTATTTAACCTCTCATTGCAGCATGAATTCCATCAGCTAAGTTGCTAAACTTACATTTAAAAACAAATTCTTTGGTCTGTGATAAATTTCCAAACTCTACCACAAAAAACAACAACCCTTGCATCCCACCCTGCATCAGATGCAGCCTGTTTTTGGGCTTTTGTTGGCCGCGTGGGTAGTGCCTACAAATTGAGACAGCATGTGGCACAGTGATATAAGAACTGACAAATGCAGACGTGCATTTGGTCTCAGCATTTGCTAAAAATGCCCCCTGGATGCCTCTMTAAGGAGGTGCTCCAGGTATGTCCAACTGGGAGGAAACCCTGGGAAAGATCGAGAACACGCTGTAGAGACTGTCTCAGGCCTGGGAACGCCTTGGTATCCTCCCAGAAGAGATGGAAGCTGTGGCTGTAGAAAATGATGTCTGGGCCTTTCTGTTCAAGCTGCTAATCCCCCGACCTGACTCCAGAACAAGCAGAAGAGAATAAATGGATGATTAATRAAACTTTAGGTTTTGATATTAAACTTGAGACCAACCCTGTTGTTTCTTTTAATATAAATGTGTAAAAATCATTTAGCAAACAGTTACCATATTTCTACTGATAAGCTATTCATCCTTTATGATTTGTTTTTTTTTTTCTTTTTAAAGAATGAACGACGAGTCTCGGAAACTGTTCGAGGGTCTYGGAAGCACCGCGGTGAAGGAGCTGGCCTTTAGAGACAGCTGGGTGTTTGTTGGAGCTAAGGGCATTGAGAATAAGAGTCCCTTTGAGCAGGTACGTGACAACTGGAGTGTGACRCATTAAATGTCAACATTTAGTAAAAATCATCACCGGCATTCTGTTTCCACTCCCAACTCTRCATTTCGTGGTTTTCTTATTTCTGCTATAATGTTTCCTAACATCATTTTAATTGACTTAAGAAAATTACTAAATCAGAAAAGTATATTTATAAACATAAACAGGCTTCTTCTATCATAGGAAACCAATGATCAGTAGTAGGGGGGTTTCACGTGACGTCACGATGCAGTACCAYGAGAACGCCAAGTTCGGCTGGAGGGCAGGAAGTGAAAAAGTGGAGGATCTGCATCTGAAAAAATGCCCGTGTGTTGTGTAGTTTACAGGTGCTCCAATAATTCTAACTGCATCAGTAATAAATAATTACACACTGATTAAATTATGTAATAAATAAATAAAAATACAGCTCTTTTTTATGTTCATCATATTTGAAGCACGTTGCAGCAGGAGGATGCAAAAAGAGGGCTGAATCATGGGGGAAAAACACCTCAATCTACTCTCTGGTGTCACCCCCACCCCAGCCGAACTAACATAAACCCCCCCAAACTCCTTTCTGACTGACGCCTGAAAATATTAGACAAGTGGCAAAAAATCTACAGGAGGATGAAAATAAAAAGAGGTGGAAGTTGAATAAAGTTCGGCAGCGATGGAGAGACAGTGAGATCAGAAGTGAGCAATGAGATATCCAAAATTTATTACATTTATTATATTTGTATAACTATATTTCATAGTTAGCAGCTAACATACCTCTGATGAAGTGATGGCTGTAATATTCTGCTCCTCACGACCGCAGACGGTATAAAATCCACTTTTTACGTTGTTTTGTGAGCTTTCTACATTTTTCATCTTTGTGTATGACAATCGGTGCTTCAAAGGGTTGGGCAGAATCGTGCGGAATTATTGGTCAGAAAAACCTGCTGGTTATTATTTGTCACCTGGTGATGTAAGACGTGTGCGGTATCGACAGCCTCAGCAAATCTTTAGGTTCAGTAGAATACTCATTCATCTTCATCATACGAGTCATGGCTGACATATTTGTGAACAAATTGCTGTTAAATATCTTGAAATAGGATCTAAATCCATACAATACAGACTCTACAATAGTTTCCCCCATAGACATTTTACCCCCTGCCCTCCAGTGGAGATCGCTCCGCCTTCGAAACCACCTGACTGAAACCCAGCTATTGGCACAAATTCTTCAGCCTACAAAAGACTGATACTTGAGTTGTTTCTTTTATTTACTTTGTCCTTCTTGGTGTGTATAGTTTTTGTTCTTTTAAACGTCTTTAACTTGTACTGTAAGTGAATTGTTGTTTAAGTAGCTGTAGAAAATGATAACGGTATCATTTAAAGAATAGTTTGGATCCGATTTTCATTGTTTTCTTTAAGATTCAAGTCCAGCATGGTTGAAAATGTTTGGTTTCAGTTGCTGCTGTGTCATGAAAGCTTTATCAAAACGTTACATAAACTTCAATTTGTTCACCTTGTTTCCTTCCCGTTAGCGCATGAAGAACAGTAAAAACAGCAACAAGTATGAAGGCTGGCCCGAGTCTCTGGAGATGGATGGCTGTATTCCCCTGCGACCACCTCTTGAAGGTTAATTCTTCCTCAGACCGACTCGCGTGATATTACAGCAAGACTTGAAGAACCAACGGGGGGAAAAACATGATGGTCGTTAGAAAACCAGGGAGCTTCCTAACTGCTGTAACTGTACAAGACCTACAGGTGGTCAGGAGGAATGGACTGAACCCCGAATGTTTTGACTTGGAACTGGTTTGAAACAAGAATCTTGAGCTGCTTTTGCTTGAAACAGATTTTATAAAGAACAAAGAAATAATGTCATGAGGACATCTTGAAGGTTAAAATGTTTAATGACCAAAGTGCTGAATGAATGAATGAATGAATGAATGAATGAATGAATGAATGAATGAATGAATGAATGAATGAATACAGGTTAATTACACTTTCCAAAAACTTTATAAAATATTATACTTTTTCCCTCTTTTTTAAAATTGCATGTAGGGTGTGTATTTAGAGCTTGATCAGCGAGAAAACGCTGAATGCTCTAATTCCAACAAACTAAAAACTCTCCAAGCCCAGGTTCTGTGGCTCGGTTCTGTTTGATTACTTTTATTTCTTAAAGATATTTAACTAACGTGTTCTACCTTGAGTTTAACTGAAGCACAGCAGATGTTTCTTACATGTTTACAGAATCTCTGTTGGCTTTAGTCCAGCTATTTATTACTCATATTTTAACACAGAAGACGTTTTATTATTATTGAGTCGCCTCAGATGGCTTTAATGTTGTCTCAGGTCTGCAAGCATATTTCCACTTAGTTCAAAGATTCAATCTCAGCAAAAGTACCTGTGTGTAGATTGTTTTATTTTAATGATGAATGTATTCTTTTGGCCTCCCGTAGGCTTTTTGCATAGAACAATGTGAGGAAATCGATTTTATCTGTGCTACTAGATGTAAATTGAAACTTTTTTCTGACATACGTATGTCAAATATTAGGGTTTATTCATTCAGAGAAGTCCTGGAGGATGTTGGTACCACCAGGGGGCGAAATGTGTTAAAGTCTGCAGGGGTGGGGGGTGTTACTCATTACATTTTGCTCAAGGTTTTGCTTTTTAAAACCGTATGTTCAGGTAGAAATAAATTCTGTTTGAAACTGAATTCATTTTTTTATTTCATTTTAATTGGGGTGCACTCTGGATTTTGACCAGAACAAAGCAACTCCTTTAATTTCTCTGTCTTATTATTTTTTCCTTTAGATTTGCAGCTGTTATAGAGATTATTGTCCTGTTAATGGACAGCTTTTCATTTGACTCTGGAGTATTTAATAAAGATGTCTGTGGTCRATTAAAGTAGTGAATGGTATGAGATCAAACCCAATTTACCACCCCACCACCACTGTGGTTAACAGTTGGTTTTAGATGTTTGAGCAGGTCTGTGTTTGGCTTTCTCAACAGAAGGCTGTTCTTAAAAGCCAAGCACCATTGCTTTGGCTTCATCGGCCCAAAGAACATCGTTTCAGAACATTTCTGACTGCAGTTACTAACTTTTCAAATCTAAACTGTTTAAAAATAAATATCTTATGATTACCCTCAAGAAAAAAAAAACACAAGACTAAGTATTGTTTTTCGTTTATTACAATAGAAAATCGAGGAATTGCAAAACACTTGTTAAAAGTATCACAAAAGACTAGCTAAACACTAATGAATCACTAATGAAACTAGTGTAGCAAATAGAAAGTAGCAAATGCTAACTAAAACATAAAGGTAGGCAAAGGCTAGCTAAGAGAAGACAAAGAGCAAGTAGGCCTATGCTGAAATCAAACAAAAAAAGAACAATGTTTCTGAAGGTATTTCTATGTGGAAAATATTTGTAAACAAAGGTAAAAATTTTTTGTAAATTATACAAGTCACAAAAACATTTTCATAGCATCCATCTCTTGAATGAGCTGGAAGTTTTGATTAGTGAATGGCTAAAGTATGGCAAAAATTGTATGGCGGCATAAAAACAGTAAACATATTTATAATATTAGACACTAAAGCACTCAGTATTCACAGCAGTGAATGCATTCATACAAATAAATCAAATACAAAGCCCTGAAATTGAATTAAGGCAACCTTGAAGGCCCATTAATAAGCAAAGCACACTAGCATCACTTAGCATGTAGCACACCACACCGCCCTCTAGTGGCCGTGCGTGCTAACTGCCATTTATTTTACGTCCTCGGGGAACAGTCGGGCAGCGCGCGCTCTGCCAGTACGCACGCGAACCTGCCGCTGTAAATGATGTACATAAGTTACTGATATTTTCGGGAATCCCATGAATGGCCGACAGCAGAACTCGGAGCTGACCGAGCGAGCAGCGAGTGGGGGAGATGTTTAAACCGACGGCGACCATCGTCTGAGCTGGAAACACCAAGCGCTGTCTCTCTGCCTCTGACCGAGGCTCGACGACTCCGATGAGGATTTGGAAGCCGCTAACACCGCGGCCAGACCGCGACAACAGACAAAAGCAAACGACTCCTCGTGTTTATAGTCAAAGCTTCTTTTTTCGTTTTGATTTTATTGTTTAGTGTGTCTGAATCATTTTTAGATGAAAGGATCGGAACAAGTGTAAATAATTGTAACATTGTATATAGGCAGTAAAAAATACAATTTACAGTATGCAAAGCTATTGTTTTCAAGTGAATTCTTCGAAGGACTGACGAGGTACGAGACTGCAAATGGGTGAGTGTTTTTTTATGTTACATTACTGTCTGTAAATAGCGATCTGTAAAACGATAAGACTAGATAGATGACATTATTGTCACGATTTGTTTTGGAAATCCGAGTACACTTATCAGTCATCGTTTCCTGATTGCTAATTAAAATGTATAAAGCAGTACAAACACTGAAGTTCCGGGGGAGGACTCGGGCCCTTAGATATCAAGAGTAGCCCATCAGTTGTAGGATGTGAGACACCTGCTAGTATAACCAGGTTGTCCATGAGGTTTGTGGATGGTGATTTGTGAGGCTGTTAGTTGCCCCGGCATTTGCCTCWGTCACTTGTTTCCCCTCTCCTGACCTGTAAGGTGTTTGTCATCCCTGCACAGCTGAGCTTAGTGTTAGCCAATAGCTATGCTTCAWGTTGCCTGCACATCCAGGCTGCACTCCACTATACAGTGCATGAAGTGTGTAGCCTATACCAGTGGTTCCCAAACTTTTTATCTTCTGACCCACTAACTATCCATGGCAAAAACTTGTGACCCCAAATATTACTGGTCTGAGGACACGAACTTCATTAATAACCCTAAAACCACAGGCTTTTTGACAATCTGAACAGCTTGTACACAAGTATAAGTACTTATTTATACTTATTTTGTGTTTTTGTAATAGTTACAGGGAAAATATTACACCAGCAATTATTTTATAACCCTTTAAATTGATTTCTGGAGATTATCCAAGGTGCTTCATGACCCATTATTGGGTCCCAAGCCCAACTTTGGGAACCAAAGTGCAGTGGTTCCCAAAGTTTTCAGCTTTTGACCCACAAAATAAC